TCTCAGGTCCTCTCTTTTTCCCTCTCTCAGCTTCCTTCTCTATTGATTTTCTCTTTCTTAGCTTCTCTCTCTTTCTCCCTCTTTTCCCCTCTCCCAGCTTCTCTCTTCCTATTTCTTCTCTCCCTCTCTCTATCTCCCCGTTACGCACACTCCATCCCAACCGAGTTTTCGAACGGCACACGTCGTTATCATCGCAGCTATGCCAAAAATGCGAATCGATGTCTCCGCACGGGGCGGAGAGGCGGAGAGTAGCGGGGCTTTCTAAAGGAGCGCGGAATGCAACGCCTCGAAAGTCCTGGAAAGGCTTGTCCCCCGCGATCACGACAGATGCAGCAGCCGCGCTCGAGAAAGTCTTTCGCGGACCGTGAGCCGCGTTTCCCGACGCGGATTATTCGTTTTTCGATCGTGGAACGTGCTCCGCGAACCTTTTATTATACCGACGAGAGAATTTCCCCTGCCCTCTCGTCATCCAGTGATCTTTCCGCTCGACGCTGTTCATTTTTACACGAAACTGTTTTCGAAACACGGTTCACCAGAATCGGAACTTCCGTCTTTTATATGGAAAATTTCGGAGACACGTCTGTTTGTTTTTACGGAAACTTATCTCGAGGTCTTAGCTTGCCACCGAAGCTTTTATCTTCGCGAACCATTAATTTTTGTTTTGCGGTTCGTCTTTTCGGGTACACCTGTGCAATTATGCCCGTAACCTCATGTGCGATTCGCCTCGGTTTATGCATTCTTGCAACTTGACGCTAGGACTATTAACTAAAGTGATTCTTATTAACACGTTCCTTATAGGACCATTTTTTTAAAGACTTTCAGGCCGTATGGGGCGTATACGAAATTTTTGCAATCAATTAAAATTAACACTAAAACTATCAGATGAGTCAAATGACCCATGCCTGATGTCTTTTCGCAATTATTAGAAAGGTAAGAAATGTTTCTCTGAGAAATTAAAGAAATTCATTTAGCACTACGCAAATTGTATTGTAAATCAATGAAAGTCTGAAAAGATGCACTCTTGGAGTTTCTATAGCGAAATTTTCAAACGTCAATTGAAGTGCTCGGTTTTAGTGTTAAATAACAGTATACATAATATTAAAATACCTATCTTCGAGTTTACAATAAATTTTTGAAAAGTTCGTTTTTCAATGAGAATTTTCGGCCTGAACGGAAAATTCAACGTGGGTCGTATACCACGTGGCACGAATAAGAAAAACATAATAATTGAGACTGAGAACATAAAACTTATTCGACTATTGTCAAAGTTAATACAGTAAATTCCCTGGAATCCGAAGAATACATAAAAATGTTATCTATAGAAATGTCCAAACGGATGATTTCGAAGCGCGCGATAAGTCCCAGCGTTAACGAGCGGAGTTCCGTTCGCTCCTTTATTTTTATCCGCGAGATGGAATTGATTCGCGGCAACAGGTGCAGGATATTTCATTTATCTCGTCCGCCTGCAACGCGTCGCTATCGATTTGTTTCCTTATAACGTCGAATCGAATCCGATAAACGGACGTCGTTTCTTTTACATAGAAACGGCGCAATGTTTTTCAATGTTAACTGCGGATTCGAACGAATTGAAACGACGATCTCGTATCTCACAATTTTCGACAGAAGTATTCAAATTTCAATCGTTGGAATGTGAATTACTGAAATTCGAATTATCGAAGTTTGAATTACTGACGGTTGAATCGTTCGAATGTGAATTGCTCGGATTCGAATCGTTCGAGTTTCAATGATTGAAGTTCGAATTATTGAAGTTTCAGTCACTGAAATTTCAGTCGTTGGAATGTGAATCACTGAAATTCGAATTATCGAAGTTTGAATTACTGACGGTTGAATCGTTGGAATGTGAATTGCTCGAATTCGAATTGTTCGAGTTTCAATGATTGAAGTTCGAATTATTGAAGTTTCAGTCACTGAAATTTCAGTCGTTGGAATGTGAATCACTGAAGTTCGAATTACCGAAGTTCGAATTACTGAATCACGTACTGACGTTCATTCTAAGGTGTACACCGATCGAAGTCTTAACAAACGCATTCTTCGAATTTGCGTAAGGAGGAACGCGTTAAGCAACTTAATCGTTCGGTAGGTCTGGCGTTAAATATCTAACCTTTGCAACGGACGTGGGAGACTCTCGCGATGAGCGTGGATTCCCTTTTCTTCCTACGGATTATCGACGATCAAGTGGGCGTAGGGTTAAAAGTGACGCGAATGGCGAGGCGTGGACGCAGAGCGGAGACGTTTCAAAGTAGAGAGCCGCACAGCAGGCGATTCGAATAATTCCTAACGTATCATCACTCGCAATTGAGATCAAACTGTCATGTTTGGAAGAGCAAATGGCAAACAAATGATTTCGCTTAAACAAGAAACCAATTCGCTTGTTCTCTATTATTTAAGCATTCGACATTTCGTTTAGCAGAGTGGAGACGATTCGAATAATTCCTAACGTATCATTATTCGCAATTGAGATCAAACTGTCACGTTTGGAAGACCACATCGCAAACAAATGATTTCGCTCAAAGAAACCAGTTCCCTTGTTCTCTATTATTTAACACTGGGTTTACGGACATTTATTGTACAGTTTATTCTATTGTTCCTGGGGAAGTTGATATTCGTTCGTTTAGATTTTGGAAATTATAGATGTAGAAATAGACAGAATTCATGTCCGCGAAGGGTTAATTTCTACGTAGACAAGGAACGACGCTGAACAAGTGTCGCCAGAACTTGTCCGGTTCTCCTATTATTATTTGACTGTAACATGGAGGTCAAGCACGACAGATAAACAGCCGAGTTATATATACATATGCGTGGAAACACAACAAACGTATGCATAATAATTTCAGTGTCTCCTCTGTGCTAGCGTGTCTCAAGGAAAACATTTCCACCGAGGAAAATTTACAACTATTCTTATAGTCCCGTCTATATCGTTCATTTTATAGTGACATATATATATATAAATATATATCATTCGATTAAACAATAGAAAGAAAGGAAACTATGCACTGATCTGTTACCGTTTGAATAATCAAATCGTTTGTGTTCAACTTAGTCTTCCAAAAATGGAAACTTTATCTCGACGAAGTGTAAATATTCGTGCCGAAGAGTTAAACAGGTAACCAATGTTGACGTCGCTAAACGATATATATATCTAAATTACTAAATATCTAAATATCTAAATTGCTAAATATCTAAATATCTAAATTACTAAATATCTAATAATAAATATCTAAAAATAATATAAATATAAATACATATTATTATTTCTCGATTCCTTGTAGAAATGTCTACTGAAAATATATTTATATATATAAAATATATTTATATATATATATATATATATATATATAAATGTATTTTATTTATATATATATATAAAATATATATATATAAATATACTTTCAGTAGACATTTCTCCAAGGAATCGACGTGCACAATAGGTCCACGCGGTTGAGAGGCACTGCTCCATGGGAATATATACATATATCATCTATCTCCGCAGATAGCAATGGAAAAGAATTCGATAAACGCGGCGAGTCTCGGCGGCGATATTGTTTCAAGAATATTTCACGTCGATGCACGCCGCGCACCGTCCGTGAATTATTCATGTAATTCGCGTCGGGCCGAGTCGTCGGGAAGATTATCTCGAGATAGCGGAATGATTTCTTCCCTTATCCGGCCGCCGATTGAATCGTAACGAATTCGCGCGATAACGAGCGCACGTTCGATACCGGTGCCGGTCGGTTTCCATCGTCGACCTAAAAATACTCGGCGATCCACGTTTGAAGTTCAGTGTCAGTCCCGGTGTGGAGCTCCTTGGGACGACGATAAGATGATGATCGCGGGGCGTAACTGATTACGCAATCCTGTCTCCATGTCTCGATACCCTGAAAAAAAAGAACGTGTGAGACTTTCGTACTCGTCGAGAACATTGTTCGCACGTTTCCGTGGTCATGGTCGTGATTAATTGTTAGCTGATAACGACAATGACAAAACGGATCTGGCTCTGGACAGTTGGAACGAGCTGTCGAATCGTGTTTATTCGATCGTTCGTCTTGTAAAGATTCTGAGTGACATTGATCTGTCTATCATGGAGGAAATTTTGAATCATTCGTTTAGTTACCTCGACATTGGTTGCCTTTTTAACCCTTTGCGGTCTGAAGTGCTCTTGGTTTCACTTTGAGGTTCACGTCGTTAGTTCATTCAATTAGCTTAATATGACGCTCTATTTGTTTACTCGAGAATATTTGGAAGTTGTTGAAATGTTACCTTTAAATGGTACAATTGCGATACTACAAATAAATATAGAAAAAATTTAAACTTCAGTAATTCGAATTTCAGTAATTCACATTCCAACGACTGAAATTTCAGTGACTGAAACTTCAATAATTCAAACTTCTGTCATGTTACCTTTAAACCTCTTCTTTTTGCAATTATTAGAAAGGTAAAACATGTCTCTCTGAGAAATTATCAAAGAAATTCATTTAGCTCTACGCAAATTGAATTGTAAATCAATTAAAGTCTGAACAGATGCACTATTGGAGTTTCTATAGTGAAATTTTCGAAAGTCAATTGAAGTGCTCGGTAGTTTTAGTGTTAAGCGATTGATATGTAACTTAGCCTCGTGCGCTAAAGGTTTCGTACGTTTCGAAGATTCGCCGCAAAAGGTTGATCATTGTGAACGAGAAATCAGAATTTGGCCGTTCTGACTTCTGGTAGCGTCGCCAGCATCTGTGGAACCCTTCAAGATCCGGAGCTTAGTTCTAGCCCGACGAGTACCAATTGATTTCCGGGCTGTTCTAAAAAGAGACGGGAAAAATTGAATTAAGGTCTGCCCGTCGCGTTTATCCGCGAACAAATTTATCTGGCGACCGACCAACCGATTGTGCTTGTTGTTCCCGTTCGCCTGCTAGGGACGCCGCGATGCGCGCTCGCTAAAGAGATTAACTGACACGAATTCGCTGTGTAAATAACTGCCTAATTAGGAAGGCGCAGCTTGATGTTAAACCGGTATCGTCCGCCGCCGAATAAGTAGCCGCGTTTCCACGTAGAATTATTTCGAAAATTATCTGACCTCTTAACCCTCTATTGGCCGAATTTTGTTTCGTTGTAACAAAATTCGTGCAGTACGAATTTAATAAATATCAACGTACGAACCGAAATTAACAATGTATTCAATAGCTTCAATAATTTTATTGAAACGAATATACTTTGTAACTTTGAAGTTACAATGACGTTGAACGTGAACGCCTGCGTGTACAGAAGTTCAAGTTGATTGATTATTTAATGTCGTTCGTCGTTTTGCAATAAAAAATTAAATATGTCAATTTGTTAATTAATTATATTATTAACGTTAGAACTCGACTGTGTACTACTCAAAATGACTGCTTTCAGTTTTCTTGTTTCGCTATTATTTATATCTTAGAAATATTAAATATCCTACACGATTTGTAAAATAGTTTCACTTTAATACTATAATGAATCGAAGAAACTGAGAAAAATCTATTCTTACATAATTACATATCAACCATATTGAATGCTGGGTAGTTCTAGTGTTAACTTCTTGACTATTTATCTTCAAGATCATTTCAAATATTTAATATTTTTACCACAACGTACCTAATTTTCAGAAAACTGAATTGTTGGCAATTTTCACTGAGATCAACTTATATCACTATACACAGAAAAACTAGATAAAAGAAACTAGAAAAACTAGATAAAGATATATTACATAATATATTTTAAATAATCAATTCGAATCAAATTTTATATTTCCCCAATGCCATGGTAATCAGCTTGCACAGCTATCTATAAAAACGAGATTTCCCGTTACCAGTACGCAATATTAACCCACTGATAATAGAAAAACAAAGAAATCGAAACCGATTTTGACCGATCCGACAGCCTCTAGCATTAAAATGGCAATACAGTGCCTTCTGTATCAGATAGCGAATAGGAAATTCTATTGACCGTTTCGGTCGCGACGGTCGAGCACCGCGGCGCTCGTCCCGGCTCGCAGGACTCGAGGCAATATAAATCATTTCGAATACTTGGTACGGTTTATCGGTCGGTTACTCATCGTGCCCCGTCGCGAGCTGTGCGCGTCGTCAACGTCTTCGCTCCCCGTCACGTCGCGGGAAATGTTGTATGTACTTCGCGTGACCGCGCTTTCAATTAACTCCATTGCGTTCGGTCGTTCCATCACTAAATTTAGCCTACCTAATTCGCGCTACCGAGGAACATGATTTACGTGTAACGACGCCATCGATCTCTCCACGTTCGACACGCTTGTATCATCCCGTACGCTCCTCCATCGTCGATATCATCCATTTTTCCGTTCGCGCACCGAAGGGTCCTCCGCGATGCGTCGATCCGCAGTGCACGGGAACCGGTAACGATCTTCTGCTCTTGAACCTCGAGAGTGCCCTGGAAAACACGAACTCGTCACCGAACAGGAAACAAGAGACGGAAGCGATGCAGAAGAGGCACAGTGCTCGTTTAAATTTCATTGAAATTCCTACGGTTACATTTACGAGGCGCATCCCCACTCAAGGCGGAAAGGAACGGACACACGACAGGACACCGCTGCTGTGGAAAGTAAACAGTCGACGAGGTTTCGTTTTCAGTAATTCTCATTTCTCGGATCGCGGCGTTAGTCTGGAGTCTTCTGTTCGGAACGAGCACAAACAAGTCGCGCCGATCTTGCCTGTTTAATGAAAACAACAAGATCAAACGCGCGAGTGCTCCGACTCGGAACCAGTCCAATTTGCGCCGCGGGTCTGTTTTGATCGGAAGATTCTCGAGAACACGCGTTACGCTCGTAACGGTGAACTGAGAATTATTGGAAATGGACTTCCCTTTCCTGCGTGTTGCGTACTCAGGTGCTGGATTCTTGAAAGAGTCCTGCTGAACGTTTCGGTACCGGCTCCTGAAACTAATGTAATTTAAATAGACGTTACATCAATCTACGGGTTCGAGTGTTCCGAGGTTTCGCGCACCTTGCGCTCGAAACCTGCGGAACTCTGGAACCCATGGCTCGCAGCGTGCTTGTATCGCCGCGGGTTTCGATGTTTACGAGGGTCTTAACGCGCGAGCTAGCGTCGAATATTTGCGACGGCCGTAATCCGACGTTTTACATAATGAAAATGTAATTAATCTTGTAGATATCGTTGGGAATGATAAACTACGTTGTATTTAGAAACTCAACGACTCGTTTCAGTTCCGTTTCACTAATACTCTGTTTAGATTTATTGGTTTGGAGAAAATGTATTTGAGACCGTCACTGAAACAGCTGCTAGCGAACGTGTTAACACATTGAACGCCGGGGAATTTCAGCTACTAAGAGCGTGAGTCGGTGATTATATTGATTTTTTTGAACATCGATTAAAACAACGTTTCTAACTTACGGAAGAGAAGGAATTCGATTTTCTAGATTTTACTTTGGATTTGTGTTATATCTAAAATGTTACATGAATGATTAGCAATTAAATGGTAGACTAAAAATCCCGCATTATCGCCGGGGCTCAATGTGTTAATATCCACGAATTGGAAACTATCCGGAGAACAATGTCCTTTAACACATTAAGTGCCACACGATTTTCCGAGGAAATTACAAAGAGAACATTGGTGTCAAATCAAGTGGCGACTGAGTCACCTCTCCAGCAAAGGGTTAACGTAACTGCACGGAGCATTCTATCAACCTTAAATCGCAGTGACATATTTCTTATATATAAACCATATCAAAGCTTGTACCTTTACAGCTTCACAGTTAGTCCCATAGCTTAACACTCAAGCGTCCCAAAGAGAACTATAACTCCAACCTCCTCCATTACTTCAATTGAACTGATTCAATGAATTCCAGGAACACTTTCCTAAAAACAAGAACCATATTGAAAGAATTGCAAATAATCCCACTAACAAAAGAAAAGCTAAACAGACTAAAATGCAATGCATTGCCGAGCGAAAAGTAGGAGACCTCCGGATTCAGTTGGCCAAGTGTTAACACTAAGAATTATAACTACAAACCCTCGTCCATTACCTCCAATTGAACTCATTCAATGAATTCCGCCAGGAACACTTTCCTAAAAACAAGAACCATATTCAATGAATTACAAATAATCCCATTTCAAGACTTACCGAATAACAAAAGGAAAGATAAACAGAATAAAAGGCAATGCATTGCCGAGTGAAAAGTGGCAGACCTCCGGATTCGGTTGTCCAAGTGTTAATAACGTGCCTTTCTTCTTTCAGGGTACGAACGGTCCCAGACCGACGTACGTGGGTGCTAACAATGGTAACGCCGGTGGCGCCGGGGGCGGCGGCGGTGGCGGCGGCGGCGGAGGCGGCGGCGGCGGCGTCGGCGTAGGTCCTGCGAGCGGCGGCGGCGGCGGAGGAGGAGGTGGCGGCGGCGGTGGAGGTGGAGGAG